AACATCCAAATATTTTTGTGTCTGCATTAAAACCACTGTTGTAAGAATTAGGGCTGTCACTATCGGTTAATTTATTGGTAAAATTATTGATTATATGATAGTTACTGAGTAAACTACCAATTATTTTGATGATTAAGTAATAAAAGGGCAAAAAAAGGCCAAATATTTTTTTTGTAAGCAGTTACAAATAATGCATGATAAATATTTCAGAATATTTTACTGGAAACAGATAAACAATGATATATATATAAATATATATATATATATATATATATATATATATATATATATATATATATATATATATATATGTGTGTGTGTATATATATATATATATATGTATATATATACACATACACACATACTGAGCCCTGCTGGTGACATCCCTTATAAATAAAAATAATGTGTGACCACAACTTCATAAGGCATGGGAACAGGATCCTAATGCATGGCCATGACTTATTAAGGCATGGGAATGAGACAATTAAGTTGTGGCCACGACTTATTAAGGCATGGAAATGAGAGAGTTAAGCCTTGAACACAGCTTCATAAGGCATGATCTTGTTCCCACGCCTTACTAAGACTTGGCCACAACTTAATTATCTTAAGCTTAATTAATTTGTTCCCACTCCTTACTAAGATGTGGCCACAACTTAATTATTTCGTTACCACTCCTTACTAAGAAGTGGCCACAACTTAATTATCCCGTTACCACTCCTTACTAAGACGCGGCCACAACTTAATTATCTTTTTACCATGCCTTACTAAGTCATGACCATGCATTAGAATCTTATCCCCATGCCTTACTAAGACGTGGCCACAACTTAATTATCTCGTTACCACTCCTTACTAAGACGTGGCCACAACTTAATTATCTTTTTACCATGCCTTACTAAGTCATGACCATGCATTAGGATCTCATTCCCATGCCTTACTAAGACGTGGCCACAACTTAATTATCTCGTTACCACTCCTTACTAAGACGTGACCACGCATTAGGATCTCATGCCCATGTCTTACAAAGACGTGGCCACAACTTAATTATCTCGTTACCACTCCTTACTAAGACGTGACCACGCATTAGGATATCATTCCCATGCCTTACTAAGACGTGGCCAAAACTTAATTATCCCATACTCACACCTTACTAAGACATGGCCACAACTTAATTATCTCATTCCCACACCTTACTAAGATATGGCCACAACCTAATTTTCTCATTCCCACACCTTACTAAGACAGGGCCACAACTTCATTTTCTCATTCCCACTCCTTACTAAGATGTGGCCACAACTTAATTATCTCGTACCCACACCTTACTAAGTCATGGCCATGCATTAGGATCTCATTGCCACATGTTAATACATTTTGTGGCTGCACATTTTAATTTATATGGAATGTCACCAGCAGGGCTTCGGACACACACACACACACACACACACACACACACACACACACACAAACACACACACACGCACACACACACACACGCACACCCACACCCACACACACACACACACACACACACACAAACACACACACACAAACACACACACACACACACACACACACACACACACACACACACACACACACGCACTAACAAATACACATAAATGTGGTCAAATGTAAAGGACTTTGTTTGACTGTACATGATGTAACTCATCTAAATCTCTGCTCTTTCACTCACAGCCACAAATGTTGTATTGACTGAAAGTTTTAAATCCTCATTTCTAACAGAATTTCTCCACTTCACTCAGCCGCGTATGAGGAACACTGAGGTACACCCTGCCTTTCTCATCGCTGTTGCTGGATTTTTATTAAATAAATACATTTTATCTTGATTGGGACCTCCTTAAATAAAAATTGATCTGAAATGAAGGAATCCCATGCTCCCTCACTGCCTCTCCTGTCTCTCACCCTCCTTTTCTCTCTCCTCCATGTGCTCTTTCTATTTATTCCCTCATTGTGGGCAGTAATTGGGGAGTTTGTGAGCAGTCTTGATCTATTTAAGCAGCCTAATAAAGCCTTGGTTTGCAGCCACGATGCCAAATGCGCTGCTTTCTCACAGCTTGATAGCAGGATAGCTCAATTTATCAGCTCAGCTCGCACTGCGCAGTAATCTGAATGTGTGCATGTGGGGGCTGGTTTTCATCCATTTTCAGGACAAACAAAATGGTCCTGACTTTGTTACTGAGAAAAGGAAACAGACACCAAAGAAGAACATTTGCAAATCAAACAATGAAGCTGCTGGTGTTCTCAGAACATTGGACTGACCACCCCAGACCACCCTAGAGCTCAGAAAAGTTGAGGTTTTCTAGCTTTTCACCTCATTTGCACCATTTGCATCAATCCCTGGTGATGCTACAGTCATCCGTGGCCAGGAGTCCAAGAAAGTACTGTTGGCCTTGCTCTCTGGGTGGGTAGGATACCCCCCCATCTCCCCCCATCACTCAGCGCAATGCCAGCCAGCGCAGACGTCTGTTAGCTGACGTTACAGAACTGGCGGTTAGCGCTCTCCTCCGAGTGTGTTCAGCTGTCTAGCAACGTTGTGTCAGCGGCCGTTCTAAAAGATGTGGTGGCGCTTCACAGGACTCAGAGGAAGCCTGTGTTGGCCTTCACCCGCCTAGTGCTGCTGGTATCATGTGATTGGTGCAGTTCTAACTAGTGGGTGGAATTGGATACGACTAAATTTGGGAGAAAATTGGGAAAAATAAAAAAAAAGGTCCAAGCAAAAGTCCATTGACAAGAACTGAGTGCAGTACGTTCTGACGCCTCTGCACTATGGTAAAGTGAAAAAGTAAAGCCAAATTACATTAGAAACATGATTATAACTCCCAAATCACCCCTCAAATAACCTCCCAAACTACAGGGTTTTCCCAAATTACACACAGTAACAACCAGTCGTCAGTCATACTTCAGACCAAGCTCTACATATTAGACAGTCAAGCCCAGTGCTCACTTTTAAGAAGCATCTAAAAACAAATCTCTTTAACTCAGCATTTAATTAAAACTCTACATCTCGTGGTTTTTATCTTCAAATTTGATCTTTTTCATTTTCTTCTGATTCTAAATAAATACTAATGATTTCTTGTATACCAATATTTTATCACCTGTCTGTAAAGCACTTTGAGCTGCCACCAGCATGAAAAATGCTATTTAAATAAAAATAAATAATAATAATAATAATAATAATAATAATAATAATTATGATTATTATTACTGTTGTTGTTGTTGTTATTATTACATATTCTACATTCTTAATAAATAAAAACAGCTACAGACATGCATAAGTTAGCAGTGTGAGCATTTTCGAAAAAACACTAAAAATGGAGTTTTCAAAAATCTACACCCGGAGAGCGTTTTAGAAACCTTCATTTTCATTTCATTTTCATGTGGACAGAAGGCCAAAGTGCAGAGACACAACTGTGCTTTAAAAAATGTCCAGATACATGTGGACTGAACTTTGGAGGTGTGCAAAAATATCCCTGCAGATTTCTTTGAAAAACTGAAAGAAATTCCTCTAAAGCTGGACACACTAAATACTGAAAACTTAATATTATATTTGTCCGTGTGCTTCGGTATAATTTCTGTTAAATATATGTTTTTTGCTTTTTTCTGACACTGAAAGTCTCAGATGTTTGCACAGTACAGTATATAATAAAGTACCATTTTGCTATTAAAGAGCTTTCGCACGAGTCATGGCGCTTTACTTTTCAGCTGTTGTCGGCCACAGCCACGCCGTACATAAGCAAAGCTTTCCTCACTCTTAACAACTTCTCTCACGTCTCTCTCTCTCTCTCTCTCTCTCTCTCTCTCTCCATGCTCACGTACACACACTGCCAGGGCAGTTCCGAGCGCCCCCCACCCCCACCCTTTCTCCAATCATTGCAAAATAAACCAAGTGCAATAAATCCGGAGAACACTAAACCTAACATGCCAAAACATTTCTTGAATGAGCTACAATACAGATGGCATATATTATCATTATATATGTATATATATAAAGCCAACCAACATAACAGCCACATCAGTCTAGAAGGTTTCTGCATCTGCCAAATAAGTGCTGTAAGTTTGCCGTCTCCCTGTACATGTTAGTTTTTATGTCTGGAGCTGGAATCTTGGTGGTTCCCATTGATTCCAACTTAGCATTTCATTAAGACTCTACGTCTCGTGGTGTTTACCTTCTTTGATCTGTTTCATTTTCTTCTGATTCTAAGTAAATACTTATGATTTCTTGTATAATTATGTTTTATCACCTGTCTGTAAAGCACTTTGAGCTGCCACCGGCATGAAAAGTACTATATAAATAATAAAATATTATTATTATTATTATTATTATTATTATTTCACAAAAACTTACTCCTGCTTAGCGACAGGTGCAAATATTTAGTACCTACTCAAGGAAGCTAGTTTGCGCGGTGCAGCCCAGTTTGATTTAGTGATACGTAGACCTGAAATGAGTAAATACTGACATTATAACTACACACTTAAAAAGATGGTTCTTCAAGGGTTCTTTAATGGTTCTAAAGTGAACACTTAAAGAAACTTTGCATGATTAGATGGTTCTTTGCATCATGAAATGGTTCTTCACATTGAAGGAAAATGTGCTGTAGATTATCCTGTATAGAACCTTTTTTGAAAAAAGCTTCTATGTAGCACCAAAACCGGTTTGTCTATTGTTAAAAGGTTGATATTCTCGTAATAGAAGAGCCCTTTTGGTGCTATATAGAATTATCTTCAAAAAGGTTCTAAAGACCACCGTCTACAGTACATTCTCCATCAATCCGCATTTATGGTTCTATATAAAGCATTTTCTTTACTAAACAACCCTTGTGGAACCTTTTTTTACGAGGTTAGCCTATGTTTTGAACTACACACAGCTGGTTCAAGCAGCCCCTGGGTGTTAAACGCTGGCATTTGTTGTGGAGTTACTTGTGTATCTGATGAAATTCCTTGCTGTGTAAGTTTGTAACTCTTCTGTTCTCGTCTCTCTTCAGCTCAACCCTTTAGCCAGCCAGGCAGCAGTTGCTGCTGCGGCAGCGATGGGCTCCATTGCTGGCTCACAGGTGTTTGGCAACGCTCTGCCCAGCCTGCAGGGGGTCACAGGCCAACTGGTCACCAATGCACAGGGACAGGTCAGTAATACGCACACACATACACACAAACACACAAATTTGTATTGCTGTCTTTATGTGGTGTTTCACTTTATCTATACTATAGTACGTCTGTACCATATAGCACTACAAAAAGCTTTGTCTATTGTTACAAACTTGACATCACAGTAACAAAAGAACCCTTTTTGGAGCTCAACACATGCTGCTCTGACCTTACGGAAGGCAAATCCCACCAAAGATGAAATTAAAACAATAAAATGTAAATGCAAACCACTTTTTGTCCTTTCTTTTTCCAAACATGTGTGCAAATATCCTGCCAAAATTGAAAAGGAAATTAAATATCTACATTTGCAATTTCATTTTTCAGGCCTCAGAAAAAAAGTATCAGACCAAACGCAAGCCTGGTCGAGCATATACTGGTTCGTATAACTTAGAAAACTATTGTGTATCTCGATATAAATGCCAGTGTAACATTTTCACAGTTTTTTTTTCTGAGGCTGTTTGGTCTGACAGCGTTTGGTCTGATGTTCAGTTACACCAGACCTGAAACATGACGATGGTTTTTCTCGAAACTCGAAGTGGTTTAGCTTGAGGAATGATGCTGTTCTCGCTCTGAGGTCTGAGGATGTCCTTAAATGTACCCTGTATCCCCACCGTGTGCTAATTAACATATATTTGCATGTCAATTTGAAAACGAAAAGCAAAGTGTGAAATGAACAGTAAATCTCCAGCAGGTGGCGTCGACATTCATTTGCATTTGCCTTTTTATTCTGACACTTAAAGCGCGCCGACGCCGAAAACTGAATCACAAACTGTCACTTTGCTGTTGATTTATGTTTTACATTTTCATTTTCATTTTGTCAGATCTGCAGCCGATTGCTGTGAAAAAGAAATAAGAATGTGAACACTGCATTTTGATTTTAGTTTTGACACGTATTCTGCATTTCATGAAGAAAAGCCAAAGTGAAGCTTGGATTTTCTTTTCTCTGTTAGCTTTTTAATTTTAGATACGGCCATGAAACACCAGAATAACGACTAAAATCAAATGACAAATAGCTGTTTTACATTTATTTTTATTTTTGACACAAATGGCTCGTGATTGTGAGAAAAATGAAATTGCAAATGTAGCTTTCATTTCATTTCTAATTTGGGCTGGATATTTGCACACATGTTTGAAAAGAAGAAGGGCAAAAAGAGGTTTGCATTTACATTTTATTGTTTTAATTTTAATTTCTTTTTTGGCTGGATTTGCCACCCATACTGACCTAACCAAACTAATCTTAAACTAATCTTGATCATCTAAACAAGGAAAGCTGGGAAAGTCCTGCCCTTGACCCGACTCTCCTTGACTTCTTTATCATATATGGTCACTACCTCTTTGTTTCAGTATCACTTAATTAACTGACATTGCTTATGCTGCATTCAACTCACCTGCATCCTCAGAAGACTTGTCATTCATCAAGTTTTGAGTTCTCTTTGAATAATCTTTCAACACGCTCACAGTGCTCGGGGACGAGTACTGAGGCCAACAAGAACCTAAACACGAACTCATAAACACACTGCAAACACATGCAGCTTCATAAATGCTACAAAGCCACTCATAACGATGGAAATGTTTCTAGGAGGGTCTTTTAAAGGAGATGGAATATCTATGATAGTTTATCAATGACAGAAGTTTGTAAGACTGCAAAGGCTCACATTCAGTCATATCTGGTGTTGCTATGTGTAAATTATATAGTATAGTACAGGGGCAGCACGGTGGCGCAGTGGGTAGCGCTGTCACCTCACAGCAAGAATGGCCTGGGTTCGATTCCCGGCCGGGTGACCAGGGTCATTTACTGTGTGGAGTTTGCCTGTTCTCCCCGTGTCTGCGTGGGTTTCCTCCGGGTACTCCGGTTTCCTCCCACAGTCCAAAGACATGCAGTCAGGCTGATTGAACATGCTAAGTTGCCTCTAGATGTGAGTGTGTGTGTGTGAATGTGTATGTCTGTCCGTCTGCCCTGTGATGGACTGGCGACCTGTCCAGGGTGTATCCTGCCTTCTGCCCAATGACAGCTGGGATAGGCTCCAGCACCCCACCGCGACCCAGAAGGATAAGCGGTTTAGATGATGGATTGGTGGATAGTATAGTACAGCAATGATAGTAATCTATATAATATGTATAGTAACATTGTTTTTGTATTATAAAATTTAGTGACACAAAAGATGGTTTTTCAGGGGTTCTTTAGCAAAGGGAATGGTTCTATTTAGAACCATGAGTTCTATACAGAACCATTTACATGCTTAAATGGTTCTTTGCATGGTGAAATCATTGTTCAGATTGATGAAGAATGTGTTGTATATGGTTCTATTTTGAAAATGACCCTGTATAGCATCAAAAGGGTTCTTCTATTACTTCGATGTCAAGCTTGTCACGATAGAACCCTTTTTGGTGGTATATAAAACCATTGTCAAAAAGGTTCTATATGTCATTCTGAAGAGTCATTTCACCATGCAAGGAACCATTTAAGCGTGCAAATGGTTCTATAGACATCATGGTTCTAAATGCAGCCTATCCCTATACTAAAGAACCCTTGAAGAACCATCTTTTTAAAGAGAGTACAGCTAATTCCCATCACGATATAATGATATTAGTTATTGTTCAAATTACAGCTTTATCTTACTTTTACTGGCTGATGTTTATGCTGCATAGAATTTAAAAGTTTGCATGGTTCTGTCCTTTCTGAGTGTTCTCCGTTGTGTTGTGGCTGACTCTGCAGTGTTTCTGAAGTTGGATTGCGCTGTTGTCGGAAGAAAATATTGTATCTGCAAAATGGTAACTTTACAGGAGAAGGAAAAAACATACTTTACTTTTAATGTAAGTCAATGGAACCAGACATTTGTCCAAGTAATTTTGGGCGTTTCTTTTAGTTCATTCATCATGAAATGTATACACAATGTAGAGGCCTACAGGCATTTTTAAATTATGTCAAAAAATGAAAAACGACAAAAATAGAGATACAAGGTTTTGTTCCGACAGCTGCATTTACAGTGCATTTGTGAACTGTAGCTCTGGTGTCGTCATTTTGATGAAAGTGTCCGGATGTTGTGTGCAATTACACATTTCCACCAGAGAGGTCTCCAAATCCCCAAATCTTACGTAATGTATCTTTAACAAATTAACACAAACGTTTCTTGTGAACATTTCTTTAATGTGCATGAAACGCTGTATCCCACTTGCTGTAATTTCACCATATAAATTCCTCAGTATTAATCTTACAAACACACAGTAATCTTGTTAGTCTGATTTGAATTTTATTCTGCTGTGAAGTAGCGAGCCTGCTCTGAGTGTGATTAGCATGACTGCTCGGCGGCCCAGTTTGCGCTTTCTTTCTTCAAGCGGAGTGTCCTGCGTTTGATTGGTCGGCAGCTGGGGCGCGTGGGGACTAAAAAGCTGACCTTGTCATATTTACGGGGGCCGGCTGCAGAATTGTTCCATCAGTAGCCAGAGGCTTGAACGATGGCGCTTGTCAAAGCGGAGCTCTATCTAATGAATCATCTTATCGCAGGTGCACACTGCTCTCATATTAAAGGGAACGACTGTGTGGCCGATGTGCCCTTTCATGCCACTGCTAGCGTTATTTACCTTAACCCCTATCTCATCCCTCTCCTTAAGCTAACTCTTATGATCTCCTAATGCAGCACAGGGTGTTGTTTGAAGAACAGCGAGGAGGAGACTTGATTTTCAGACTCTTTTTGAAAAGCAGCATGGCTTGCAGAGGAGTGAGAGGAGCAGCTTAACCAGATATCTTAGCATGGCTAAGAATGAATGGAAACTATTTACCACCGGTTAGCATGATCTCATTTACATGATGGTAATTGGCAGCCATTGACTTTCATTCACTTTTATTAGCATTTCTCACTCAACTATTCCTCATATTCCTTTGGAGAAATGAGTACATGTTATGTTTAAGTAGTGAATTTGTACACAGTTTGGACAAGAACATTTCTAAACTTTAAAATTTATAAAATTTTATGTCTAGTTATACATTTATAAGTAGTAGAATGAAACTGGGGAAGATGCTCTAGGGGTATGATGGAGCCTGTAATTTCCCCCTTGATCAAATGAAAGTGCCAAATTGAATCCCAGCTGTGCTGTGACTACTTCTGAAATTTTATCTGAATGACTCTGTTCCTGGGATTTGTTCCAGATCCAGCTGATGTCATTTTTTTGGGGTAATTAATAGTGATATAGTGGGATCATACGGGATCTGTGGAGAGAATAATTTCTTATTATTGAAAGTAAAAAAGATTGGTTTTACTTTTAAAGTGAAAATGTAAAGGCCTTTATGCAGAATCATAATCATCATCCTGCAAATGCTAAACTCATGTAGAATTTTTATTTGTTTTACCTTTTATTTGACAAAGATCAAGCTTCAACACTGTCACTACTTTTGGTCCTGCGTCTGCTTCGGAGTTAAGCCATGGGCACATTACATGACACATTACATATAAAATCTGAACAGATTATAAAAGACTGGGTGTCTTACACTGTCCGACTGTTTTGGTCGACTGAAATATTGTGGATCCACACTAAACGATTAGGGATCACACACTACTCAACTTTTAATCTGCTTCTGAACTGAATGGAGCTCACTGAACTCGCGTTCTCCCATTACTAGGAGACGCAAATAAACAAACGTGAGATGCTGCTGCTGTTTTCTCTGCCGTTTGCAGTGAAACAGTAAAGAAGCAACATGTTTAAATGAGGATCATGCATTTAAAAATGTGATCAGTTTGGAATGTTTTAGAGTTTTAAATGTACATAAATTCAATTGTGCTCATGCCTTAAACTCAGCTCATTAAAAAGCTTCACTCCACACGAGAGACTTTTCACCATTTTTCTTTGTTTACTTGCTGTATTTTCGTCTTTTGCGCTCTCAGTTTTCATTGGCTGTTGCAGGAATCCGTTCAGATTGAGTCGTTGATCAGTTTAGACTAGATTTCGCTCAGTTTTGGGTCCAAAAAATCAAATATGTTTG